ACACACACACACACACACGTTGGGTATTCATATCTTGTGGGGACATCATGCCCTCATCCTAAGCAGGGATCGTAGCATCGCGTCCTTTAAATATAAAAATGAAAGCTCTGGATCCCCATGGTTGGTTTGTTCTGTTCTTTGTGTGTGTTTGAGCTGCTTTGGTCAACCTGTTTTTAAAAGTGCTTATAAATAAATTGATTGATTGATTGATCTCTTTTCGTTGCTGGCGGGGTTGGGGGTCTTTGCTGTGGCGGGTCTTTCGCTCGCTCCGCGCTGCCTGTTGCTCTGATTTTGTGGGATTCCAGCCGAGGAAACGAGGCCGCGTGCGGCGCTGCTGCTGCTATGTTTAGAGCCGAGGCCAGACAGCTCGGGACAGAGATGGCAAAGCAGGACGGTGGATCGCTGACCGGCCAGCTGGCTGCCTGCTTAGCTCAGATGAAGGCTGATTGGCTGGATGGATGGCTCGATCATTGGCTTACATTTTGGCTGCTGATGTGACTTGATGGTGAGCTACCTGCTTCATAGAGTGTCTGATTGGCCGGCTGGGTGACTTGTTGATGTGTCGGCAGCCTGAGTCCTCCACGTTCAGAATAAGGTCAGCGCTGTTCTCTGCCACACGGGCGAGCAAGACTGTGACATCACAGCTCCACCGCTGCGAGGGGATTATCCCCACACCCCACCCTCTCCCATCAAAACTAGGTCAGGTGCCCAGTCTTCAGTGCTTATGGGCACCAGTGATCGATAATTCAGCGCACACACACACACACACACACACACACACACACACACACACACACACACTCTGAGCTGCACGTTTTAAATTTGGCGTTTTCACAGAAACTTCTCAAGTGTTCATTAAGTGAGATGGCGAGCAGCAGGGATTACCTGTTACCGTGCATAACTGGATTAAACGAGGAAGTATCCCCGCTGTCTCGGTGCCGCTGCTAATTCAGCACAAATATAAACACAGGCGTGTTTTTCAGAGTGACCCAGTGACCCCGGGGTCAGCCAGGAAGCATCTGTGTTGCTCAGTAAAGCCTCTACTGCAGACGGGCAGACTAATGAGTGCGATTGTTCCCTGCAGCCGGCTGCTGGTGGACCTCAGTGGGTATAAATGATGTTAGAGAAACACTGTGGAATTAGTCAGACGCTCCTTTGTGTCCTTGCTGCGGCGCTCAGGCTCGACTCATTTCTACTGAACACCCGAATCTTTAAAATGCCCCACAAATCATTTTATTATTGGAAAGACGGCTCTGCGCCGCTCCACACGTGTGACGTGAGCAAGCGGTCGTCTCGGTGTACCGAGTGCAGAGCGACGTCATCGAATGTCACAAGAACGAACAAGCGCGCAGTAAAATTATCAAAGAGAAAAGCAGGATGTTCATCACCTCTGATCCTGCTAACATGTCTTTGAGCAGCTCTGC